TTGCCGCACACGAGATTGCACATGCACTTGGATTTGACTACAAGAATTTTGTAGATAACAAGATGGTATCAACGCTAGAAAATCTGCGTGGCAAGAGTCGTGTGGTGGTTGTCTCTGCGAAACTGCAGGAGGAGGCTCAAAAACACTACGGTTGTGAGGACCTTGAGGGTGTGGAGTTGGCCTATGCCGACATAGGGATGACGGAGGTTGCGTCACACTGGGCCTATCGCGTTGCAAAGGACGAGTTGATGAGCAGCGACACCACGTATGGCGCTGGCTACTACACTGCTCTGACGATGGGTGCGTTTGATGGACTACCATATTATACGGCTAATTGGGGCATGGAGGAACCTATGACATGGGGGAACGGCTCCGGCTGTGAATTCATTCGCGGGAACTGCATCACCAACGGTCAAAGTAAATTTCCTGACATGTTCTGCAAGGAAGCTGTTTCTCGGTGCACATCTGATCGCTTCTCTGTTGGGGTCTGTTCCTCACTCAACGGTTTTTACGGCAAGGATGAAGCGGATGAATGCCCATATGCGAGCCCAGAAGCGACTCAGACGTCCGAGGGACTCATGCGCGCTCCCTGCACCCTTATGCTGACAAATAAAATCCCAGGATCTGTGACGGGGAATGACTCGTGGTGCCTCGATGGGGAGTCGCTCGTTGTGAAGGACGCGACGGACACGGATAAGAATGTGGGCGGCGTGTGTGCACGGGTGTCATGTGAGGAGGGTAAAGTAATGGTGATGTACGCTGGCAACGACAACTGGTACCACTGCCCCGAGGGAGACTTTCTGGAGCCAACATCGACGTCATTCGTGAGCGGGAAAATCAAGTGTCCCAAGTACAGAGAGGTGTGCACCATCGCCCCTGACGGCACCAGTCTTCTACCATTGGTTGAATAACCAGAAGTACCTACCATGTCTCCCGGCACCAGAAATATTGGTGGTGGCGCTGCTGGGGCAATGGTAATCAGAATGGTGGTGATTCCAATGGGGGCAATGATAATCAGGGTGGCGATGGGTGTGGTGCACCTGCTCTCTTTGCTCC